TGGGCATCTGAGCTGAGGCGATTTTTGGTGCTTTGTCCCTGGCGCTTTGCCCCTATGCATGGCGGGTCTACTGTGCAGCCTCCAGCCTCGCCAAGCAGGCTGAGGGGAACACTTGAGCTTCTAGAAGCATGCCCGGGTGCCTTGTGTGCAGATGGCACCAAAGCCGCCGAAACCGCTTTCTTCGAAAGCTCCGCAGAAGATCCGAGGCACCGTTGTATCTTCAATTGAGCTTGACAGCCCCAAGCTTTTTTCCTGTGTAAGATCCCAGGCGGGAAGACGAAGCTCCCCAGAGGAGACTTCAAGCTGAAGCTGACGGACTCCGACCCTCAGGCCTTAACCAAAGACTTCATGTCATCTTGGTGGGTGAATTTGTCTACAGGGTCCGTGGAAGGCTTAGACCTGCTCGTTCTTGGCCGCAGGCACATCCCATCGAGTTGGCGTCTCCCCTTGAAGCAGGCGGCCACTGCGGGCGTGAGAGGAAGCGACGCGGCGACGCATGGGGCGGGTGGGCGGCCGGCAGGTGCCGTCGGACATGGCAGCGCTGCTACCTCCGACGAGAAGGGCGAGACTGAGCTCACCGGCGCTGACGCTGTCCGGGGAGGAGGCCGCAAGTGGCTTCAGGGATCTTGGACTGGCAGTGTGGCTGCAATGTCCCATCCCTTCCACGAAGTGGGGAGCCTGGCTAATGATGGCCGAGCGAGCTGATGGTGTTGAAAGGACACTTACCAACAATTGCTTCTGCCGGTCCGGTTATCTGCGCTGTAATGAACCTGTTTTGGCAATGTGCACTTGACTTGATAGTTGCTGTATGTCCTGCCGTGGCCGTTGTGTCAAGCGAGAGGCACATCGCCAACGCGTGCACCGCGCTGCACAGGTGTATTGGAGGAACGTCCAACATAGACAAATGCGTGACGAAAAGACGCCACTATCAAAGTGACTGCTTGCATAGGTTGGATTGACCCAGATTGGCTCGCCGTTGCATTGCTCGTGTGATCTTTCCACTTGACGTGCGCGATCACAAGACAAAATGCATGAGTGACCGGGGCCGTGATCAAAGGTGCTGTTCCGACAGTCGCCATGCCACGCGAAAGCAACACCTTAATGGGACACGGTTTCACACCAGGCACTGTCTTGGTGCAGAGACGAAAAGACAGCAGGTCTACAGCCTCGTGTAAGGAATAAGAACTCGCTCAAGCTTTCTGAGCACATTTCGGGAGCCAGCAGCCATGGGCCGGCAAAGATGGAAAACGTCGATGCCATCCCTGCGCCGATGGGCCGGCTATCTGGTCGGCCATCATGCATCTTCATGTTCATGCATGGCCTCCATGTATGACCACATGTCCATGTCCAGGACACGGAGAAGCGATCTCCGCTTGGTCCTGAAGGCCGTTCTGATGCTCAAGGACATGCAGACGACTCCTGTGGATGTGCAGCTTGCAGAATGCATCCAGCCTTCAGTAGTTGTGACTTCTCTGTGTGTGTGCGCTTTCTTTCCACGCACGACAACGGCTTCGCAGAGAGAGGCGACTGTCCCGTGCAAGGCTCCGGTGCGGAGCCTGCCTCTGTGCCGAGCACCGGTGGTAACAAGGGGCAAGAAGGCGTGCCACCTGGTGCCACGAATGATGCCTCCGCCAACAAGCAGGAGTTCGGCTCTGATGGCGCTGCCCCAGCGATGCAGCAGGATTTAGGGCTGCCTTGCTTTGCATTTCGGGGGAAGGGAGCGAGAGCATCATGCTGACAAGTTCGGCGCACGAGTTCATGTCCCTCACAATCTCGCAACACACCAGAAAGGAATCATTTTCAACTCATTGCTTGCCTCCGCAAGGTCGGGCGCATGTGATATTGGCAACCGTGGATCGTGTAGCAACCTACTGGGCCCTTGGACCTTAGACTACCTTAACTTTGAAATCAAGGAGGAGCCGCTTTGGACCTACAGTGCTGAGCAGATGCTAGAGCCAGAAGAGGAGCCTGCAGAGGCCACAAGAAATAGCATCTGTGAAGGCTCTGCCATCACTATGAAGCCTCCGAGCCTCAGCCTCCTGTGGCAGGAGGCTCGACCCAGTCGGGGAGCTCTTCAGCAGCAGCGGCGGCAGCGCAGAAGCCGCGAGAAGCTGTTGGCAGCTTCTTTGACATCGGGATACGCTCTACTCTAGTCCGTGAAATTTCGGCAGCAGCAATAGCGTAAGCAGTTCAACTAGTGTTTCTTTTGGTATGTTGTTTCTTGCTGTGGACATTGGGTGTTAAGGGTAAGTGTACTGTAGCACAGAAAACGCAATCGTACCGTTACATCGCTTTTGCCAAGTGAGCATGTGAGGCAAGCGACAGATGGATTTTGTTGATGGGGGCGAGGGCCGGAAAAGCATGGCGCAATCGGGCCGTCACTTCGCCTTTCGCCCACTGGGCGAGCGAGGTAGTACACAGACGGATTATGCGAGGGCCAGGCGGCCAGAGCAATATAAATATTAGCACAGAAAATGCAATCGCGCCGTCACTTCGCTCTTGGCCATCTGGGCAAGTGAGGCCAGAGAGAAACAGGTTGTGTACATGGAGCGAGATCACCGGGGTGGTGCGAATCCCATCCTTGAGGGAAAGGTCACTCGCCATGTCTTTGGTGTCGCAGCAACCCAAAGTAGCCTACCTCACGTATTTCTGTTGTTCACCAGGGTCGAAATCAAGCCAGCGGATTATGTCATTCGCCACTTTTTTGGTGACGTGGCATTGGGGGGAGAAGTGGCTGCTGTGGAGTTGCCGAGTTGCTGCAGTGCGTTGCGGCCATGCGAGTTCAAGTGGAGGAGGGGCAGCAGTTGCCACAGTGCGTTGTGGCGGCGCAGGGGGATTGAACCAGTGGGTAGATGGGGTGGAATTCCCGCGAAAGGATCTGAGGAGGGTGCTGGCGCTCTGGTTTGGCGCAACAAAAACTCACAATCTCAACGGCACCTGGCTTTTGGTCGTCTGGGCAAGCGAGGCGGGGGCGAAGGGCGGAAAAGCCGAGCACACAAATCGCACCGTGACCGCGCTCGCGGCCAACTGGGCAAGCGATGTAAGAGATAGAGGTTTCGTGGGTTCGGCCAGGGGCGGAACAAAACCAAACCTTGCCAAGGAACACAGCCTCCACATCGAGCAGGTTCCCCCTTCGGAGCGCTGTTCCCCTTCTGTGCTGGAGGCCACTCAAGTGGCATACGAGCGGCTGGCACAGAAGGATGGGACGACGTTCACGTTGTCCGCCAAGGACAGGAGAAGCTTTCTTTTTTTGGAAAGGAGGTATGTGTAAACTCCGCGCATGCAGGAGGCCGGCCTGTTCATGATGCCTCCTGGAGAGGTGGACATGTGGGGTTCATTAGGAATTGAGATTTTGTGCATCCCGTTGCCTGGGGTTTCTGGGCATCGTGAACCACTCAGCTCCTCAACCTCAACATCTTCAGTTTCACATATGTTCGACGCAAAATTAGGCGTCGGGCTGCTAGCCCTGAGCTCTCAAGTAGACTCGCTGCCTTATGTGTTGCAAGGTAAGTGTTTCCAACAAAACGTGTGCTCACTTGCTAACCGGAACGCGCAGCCAGGAATCCCTGGTCTATGTGGCCAAGAGAGGGCGCCCGATCGGGATGCTGGTGGCCACCAGCGAGCTCCGAGGCCTTTGGCGACATGTCCAAAAATGTGTTACATGCCATGTCTTGGGAGGGCGTGGCCTGTACCTCCACCGCATCGGCTGTCTCCAACGCCTTGGTGGTGGTGCGGCCTTGGTGGTGAGATGCCTCAGCCAAGCAGGAGTGTGCTTTGCGCACCTGCACGCCACCCTGGACGCGGTGGACTTCTGGAAGCACCAAGGTTTCCAGGAGCTCCAGGGCAGGACTGTACGCGCATGCATTAGTGGATGTGTAATCGCGTGTTGGGAACGGGGGAAAAGTGGCTGCTGTGGAGTTGCCGAGTTGCTGCAGTGCGTTGCGGCCATGCGAGTTCAAGTGGAGGAGGGGCAGCAGTTGCCACAGTGCGTTGTGGCGGCGCAGGGGGATTGAACCAGTGGGTAGATGGGGTGGAATTCCCGCGAAAGGATCTGTGGAGGGTGCTGGCGCTCTGGTTTGGCCGCCTGGTGGGCAGGACTCCAACCAAGGCGAAGCGGAGCAAGGCTCAACATCCTCGACCAGCGCTCTTTCGTGGTCCTGCGTCTGTCAAAGCTTCTCGGGGGCTGTGCCCGCGCCGCGAAATTGACGCACGTCAGTCGGCTTTGCTGCAGCAACTCCGTGTCTTGTGTCGTGTGCGAGCATTCTGATAAGCCGAGGCAACCGCGGTTCGCACTCGGATTGATGTCTATTGAGTGTCCAGACTCGATTAGTTATTCCCGTTTCGATCATGTCGCGTGGCGGCGGGGGGGGTGGCCGGATTTCCGCATGTTTGGGGCGGGTGGCCGGATTTCCGCATGTTTGCCATGGGGTCGACTGGGCAAGTCAAGAGACAGACGGATTCTTTAGATGTTGCGAAGGGCTGCAATGCAATCGGGTTTTCTTGTCAGGACCCTCAGGAGCCTTATAGAGGAGGCGGGTCGACATGGCGTGAATTGCCCCAGCAACGTCGCGGCCACCCTCTTGAAGGCAGCCAAGCACTGTAAAGCGCTGACCTATATGTACCGCTGGGTGTGATTTTTGGCAGGTGTTTCATGACAAGTGCGATAAAGCTCTCCAAACATATGCGTATTCAGTACCTGCGCTAGTTTAACGTTTCGCATTTAACACCCATGCGGTTAGCAGTTTCGGCACGGCTGCCTTGGCATAGATCCCAGGAAAAAGGTTGAAGCTGACTGCTTGGACAAGAGGCTTCATGCACGGAGCCCGCAGTATCTAAACTTGTTTAGTGCTGACTTGCTCATCCGAATAGCCAACAGACAATCCTTAACTCACTGCGGGACCTGTGGAGAGGAAACGGGTTGAGCTAACGGACCCGGAGGATTGCAAGTTGTGTCCACCTGCTTTCAATGTTGGCTCATGGGCTCCCAGTGCGGAGAGGGGCCCATTGCAAAGGAAGCCGTAGACTGCTCTTTGGTGTTGTAACTTAACGACATACTCTAACTCACACAGGGCTCAGGGGTCTAGCAGGACTTCGCCGAAGGTCTCTTGACGGATAAGATCCCAGCACGAGTTTTGCCGTGATTGCTGTTGGACAGTTTGCGTTTGGCAGGTCTTCCAAGGGCTTCCCGAAACTGCCCGAGACACCCAGCCTGTACCCTCAGCTTTCGAGGCTTTTGGTGTCACAAGTGGAGCTTGTCACCCCACCTAGACCACCAGTGTCGGTGGCACAGCCAATGGACCAAACCACAATCACTTCAAGAGAAAGCTGGCATACTGTCCGCCCGCTTATGCCCCACCCTGCTGACATTCACCGGGTCCTGTACTGTGCGCATGTCGCTCATTGAAGCCACCAGGTGCTCAAGGCATGCTGGACATGAAATCCGAAGTACATGCACAGAAACTTCCTACATGTTCTCCATAGACGGAAGCCTGCCAAGTCCAAGGAATCAGTTCCGAAACTTGGCGAAGTGGATGGATGGGTGTACAGTGCATGAAGCCGTCGATGCGAATCATGGAGACAGCGAAGCACCTGCGAGGAATGCTCGAAGACCAGCAGCTTGTTTGATGTAGCGGCTGCTGCGAGTTTATCACGATCACAACAAGTCTTGCTCTCATTAGGGCTACTGCTGCAACTTCCACGTCAACAGCAGCAGCAACAGCGACTATACAAGCAAAGCTGCAGCTTCCGCAAGAGCAGCAGCAGCAGCAGCAACAACAACGACCACGGGGATGCGACAGCTACAGCAACCACAACCACAAGAATGGCCAGAAGCCATGCATTCTCGTTATGTTTTCCGTAGCCGCAACCCTCTCGTAAAGTCCCGCCTTAAAAGGTTTTTC